TTAGAGAAGTTTAGAAGACCGCCTACCACTGTGAAAGGGAGAGAAAATATTTAGAGAACTTGTTGAAAGGGAAGGGAAAAACAAAGCAATGGACAAGTCACACATAAGCACAGGACTAATATTAAATACTTTCCCCACTCTCATATTTTCAGGTCAAGAAGGGTATTTGACAAAAAGTGAGATGCAAAAGTAATATGTGCTTCCATGTGTTGTTTTAAACACTTAAATGATTCTCCACTTTTGCATCTCATTTTCTCCACCACACCACACTGTGGCTATCAACACAAAATTAACAAAGAAGATCACTGTTTCTACAACCCTGAGCACCAGCAGCTCTAGCACAGACACAACAAATACTGTTTTTTCCAGAACACGTAGTGACAGGCCATCAAGAACATGTCATGTGCCAAGCATGCCACCTGCATTTGTTGCCAGGCCAGGTTCAAACCAACCCTGAAGAAAAAGCTATTAAAAAAAAAAAAAAAAACCCACACCAAATAAAACCCAGAAATCTTTTAACTGACTACTCAAGAGAGCCAAGTTTTTCTTTTTAGGAATGTATCCACTTTATAGTCACTATGCCAACATGGGGGTAAAAATACAACTTAAAACATCTGGCACATGCTTTGGTGTACATCTGCGTGGACAAGGCTGATGCAAGGCAATATTCACAACACCTTCTCATGGTCTTTCCATGCCTGTCAGCATATGCAGAAGAAAATCGGCACATGCTGAATACAAGCACAGCACTTCCTAACTTGCTCACAAGAGTTTGTTCTGACTCCATCAGAACCAGCCGACAAGGGAAAGCAACTCAATACTTTCATGAAAAGCAAAGCAAAGGTTTCCACAGACTTAACCATCGCTCCAAAGCTCAGGTTATTCATTCATGTGCAGTTGCCTGAGGCAAAAATCTGCAAGTTCATTACAGAGTCTACTGCGTGGTGCATAGAGCTCCCCAAGAGCAATGTATAAAGCTCCACACAGACAGAGGGAGCACTTACCAAGAGGATTCACATCACAAAAGGGCAGCACCCAGCTCACAGCTTCAGCAGAAAATCTTTGTTCAGAAGGAAAAGGTGGTATAGGAGCGTATGAAGCACTAACTGGAAAAACTTAACTCATTTAGTTATGAAACTGTTTGGATTTTAACAAAAAGGATCAGCCAACAGAAAGCATGAGGACACAAGGTAAGCATGGTGAAAAACACCTCTAAAGAAAATAGTTTATTTTGAGAAAACTCTGAGTAGGAATTCGCACCATATCCACCCCAGATTGTGAGCTTGTGGAATAACAAACCAAGTCATTGCAGGCTTGTTGAACAGCCAGCAGACATCTTGTACAGTCAAGGAAGCAGAAGATGCACAACGTGCTGGAAAATCATTAGGCATCACTTAATCCTGGCTAACTCCTTCCCAGAAACAGAGTTTCTTCCCAGAAGCTGGCAAAACCTTTAACAACACAATACACAGTGATCTGGTCTCACCAACTGTTCCAATCCAGCCGTTTCATATTTGTCTCCACTACCTTTCTGCTGAGCATACCCCAAATTCAGCATAGCCATCCTAAGGCAGCAGGAAACTGTGCCCTCCCTAAGCCCTGACCACAGCAACATCTTACTCCTACACAGACTCCCAAACTCTGGGCTGAAGGCATTTTAAAAAAAAACACCACAAATAAATACTGGTTATTTTCCCTCCTATGCCAATCTGTTACTTGTCATAGGTTTAGCAAGCCTTCTTTTCCAGGTCTATTTCCTCAAGTCCTTGAGCGTTCAGTGAAAAGAAGTAACTTTAAAGAGTTCTGCCTGGTGGCCACCTATACACTCCTGATCAAGTATGACATTTCTTTTTCACCTACATTCCATAACATAATGAGCTGTATCTGTAAGCCACTTCTTGGGAGATTTTAAAAAGCTCTAAACTAGCAGGCAGCACCCACCTTCCCCTGTGAAGAGTCTCTGAACCCTCCTTCAGCTTCAAACCGTGACATGAATGCAGAAGAGGGCAGAAAAACCCTCAAAAATACCACACTGAAGATCCCGTTTCCCTTGGTCATGAAATGGGGAACATGCTGCATCATTCCCACTCTCTGTCACAAACAATTTCTAGTTTTCAAAAAGAATGGACTTCTCAAAAAAACTCTTGCAATTCCAAGGATGTTTTGCAACTTTAGTTCCCATATCCAACATCTCCAACAAATGATGCCTTTCTGTTTTGATGGGTGAGTGGAGCTGCTGCAGCACCACTGCAGTTCAAGCTAGCAGTACATCAGGAAACATGTTTGAGGTGATTGCCTCCCAGAGCTGGGACGAGGCTGGAAGCCTGGCTGGGAAGCCACACCTCTGAGCCACAGGCAACGCCTCCCACTGTCACAAGCCCACACGGCCCAACTTACTTGTATGCAGGAGCACAAAATTTCCTCCTAAATTGTAATTTTATCTTGTCATCTGCTGACAGGGAAGGTTTTTAATGCTGTGGATTCTGCTGGCTGTTGTCTTTCAGGTTAGCAAGATGATGTTTCCAGAAGAAAGGAAAACCTTCACGTGTCCTGCTTAGACCACACTTACCACACTGCCTCCAGAGCCCACTTCAGCTTCTTATGCAGCACTGGCAGTTCTTTTACAAGCCAGGCAGCTCAATATCCAGCCTAAAGTCTTGATACACATCTTGTTAACTGCAGGAAAGGAGCCACTTAAACCTTCACACTTCTAAGAGAAGCACTTTGGCTGGCCTGGCTTAGACCTCCTCACACCCAGCTGTTTGCTTACTGGAGTCTTTCAGTGGAGCTTTTTATCTATGAAGTCTGATGTATACCCAGGGAAACTGGAACTAAAACTTAAAGACTTCACAGTTTGTTCTTACCACAGAAGTGGCATCGCAGTGTAAACCACCGAAGCATTGACAGTGGTCCAAAGTCTTCCTCAAATTCCTTTTGAGTGAACAAAACCAGGCCAAGCTATCCCTTAACTCACTAACAACTCATTATAGCATCTTAAACTAATGCAGTGCTTCTGAAGTATGTCATTACTATGCCATCAGTAAAATGGAAGGAAAAGGGACACCACCCTGGAGAAGATGTGAGAAGATGAAACTCTGGGGTTTCTCCTCGCACACCTACTTGCACATGCCATACCAAACTGATCTGTTTTACAAGAAATTAAGATATGGGGCTTCAAATGGTAACATACTGCCAAGAATAGGCACCTGAGTAGGATCGCGGTAGTTTCTGATAGCTGACATATCAACACAGAAATTAAAAGCTCAAGCTACTTTTCGGAAATCACATCAATAGTTGCAGCACTTAAAACGCTTTTTCCCTGTGACAATCACAGCATCAGAAGGACAGCAGGTAAAATTAAGCTGTACATGTTCAAAATCCATAGTGACAAGATTTAACTTGAGCATTTCTATTTATAAAACTGAGCAGTCGCAACTGTTTTCTTGGACTTTGGAAAGTTATCTATCTGTCCTGAAGAGAGATAGTGCGCAAACCAGGCGTTACTTTCTTCAGCTTTTACAGTATCAACAAGCCAATTATTGTCCAGTCAAATACCCACTCATTAAAATAAGCCTGTCTCGGTCAGTTCATTTTGACAACATCTCTACGCAAATCAAGACAG